AGTCAAATGATAATTTTTAAACATAGTATTGACATGATGATAAAATTTTATGCATTTACTTCTTTAAATCATGAAGATAATTTTTTTCATCATTTTCACTTTTTTCCAATTATATATGGGTTCTTTAAAAACAATAAAATTAATAAAATTAAAAATTTAATCTTTTGCTTCTCTTGTTTAACCGATACAAGTTTTTATTTTGTTATATTAATTTAATAAACAACTAATAAATAAAATTTGAATATCTTTACAAAATTTGTGAATTAAATATATTTTTGTCAAATTATTGTGTAAACGTTTAAATAATTTTTTGATGATTATACGTCATCTCTTCTAATAAGAATGATTTTTTTTTCATTATGTTCATTTTATTTTTGTTATATTTGTTTTTTCAATAATAGATCATATTTATATACTTTAATGATTTTTGTATGATTATATTCAATTTCATCATATTCATTCTTACTTCTTCTAATTATAATTAAGTAGGGAAAGCCGGTAAACTTTAATACATAGAAATTTAGAAAAATAAAATAACAAATTGAACAACTCAAAACTAAAAACTTCAACATTAATCTTTTGCAATTCCAAGTCGAATATACAAAATATAATTTTTTTAATCATTTTCGCATAATATATTACATGAGATTATGTGGAAATATGTTTTGCATATGTGAAAAAATTAAATTAATATAAATCATAATTATTAGTTATTTAAAATTCTATGTGAAAAGCCTTAAAATCAAGTAACCTAAATTTTTATAAGTAGCATATATTTTTATAGATAAAAAATTAAATTTGCAACTTAAACTGTGATAATGAAGATTTTAATATCATGTTTTTTGTTAATAGAGATTCTTTATTCTTTAATTTATTTTCTTAACCATAATTATAGAATTATGAAACTTTTTGAAATTTACAATTTTGATATATACAAAGAAAATTTAATATTTAAATACTGATGTGGATGCCTTGTAAATGTAGCTTTAACTGTTATTCATAATAGAATAATTTTAACAAAATTTGTTTTCTATATTATTTTGTATTAACAATGTAATTTTGTAATTTGGAAAACTTTTAAATTTTTGTTATTGATGTACACTAACAAAATTGGCCTTTTAAATATTTTTTTGGATGTCTTTAGAGGCATATATCTTCAATTTTTATTTTCTATAAATATTTATAATTTTAAATTTTAGAAATTTTCTTAATTTTAAATATTGATGTGGACCAATAAAATTAAACTTTTAAATCATATATGGACATTCTTAAAGGCATATAGCTTTAACTTTTTTTAATAATTGATTTAGAAATCAAAGCTAGAAGATCCCATACGAGACAAGTGATTTTGGTCTCTCCTCCTTGTTTTGAAGCTTACTGAATGTACTTGGATAGCTAATTATTATTTTTGTGGTTAACGTTAGTTTGTTAACCCCATCATATGCCATGTTATTTCAAAAATCTTCCTCGGATAGCTCAGTCTTCGTCTTAATGACGAAACCTCTTTCTCTATTTTTAATGCTTTGTTTTTCAAAAGTGTCATGATTTTGGTATCTTCTCCTTGTTTTGAGATTTACCGAATGTATTCGGATGGTGCTTGGTCAGTTAATTGTTACCTTTTCGGTTAAGGTTAGGTTGTTAAAACCCCATCAGATGTCATGTTATTTCAAAAATCTTCTTCAGATAGCTCAGTCTTCGTCTTAATGACGAAACCTCTTTCTCTATTTTTAGTGCTTCGTTTTTCAATTGTTACCTTTGTGGTTAAGTGTAGGTTGTTAAAACCCCATCAGATGTCATGTTATTTCAAAAATCTTCCTCGGATACCTCAGTCTCCTTCGTGTTAATGACGAAACTTCTTTCTCTATTTTCAGTGCTTCGTTTTCCAAAAGTCTCGAGTATCAATCACTTGACATGTTTGTCAGACTGCTTGAAATTTATCATTCTTCTCAAATTTGGTAACCAAGCTTTAGAGCTTTTACGGTTCTTTTTCAATATTAAAGCGGCTTGTAATGGTTTTGTTTAGATCTCATTTCATTATAGTTAAATATATAGTTTAGTTCACTTGGTTATTTTATGTTATAATGACTCATTTTTTATTGAAATCTAACTCTATTTTTTTTTTGTTTATTTGAAATAGTTGCACAAAAACAAAATATTATAGTTATATGACAAAAAAAATTGGATGCTAATATAAGAGTTTCTAAATATGTGTTTATACCTCTAATATAAATTTAAAATTTTCTATTTTAATATTATTTATTTTAATTTTATTTTTAATATAAAATTTATATATAATTTCTTTATCATTAATAATTTTAAAAACAATAATAGAGTTTGGAAACTTTTTAATTTTCAAAGTTGAGATGGACCAATGAAAAATTTATACATAATTTATTTATACATCAATAATATTAGAATTTGTAAACTTTCTTAATTTCCTTATTCAACAATAATATTAGAATTTGTAAACTTTTCTTAATTTTGAATGTTGATGTGGACCAATAAAATTATCCTTTTAAATCCTATGTGGACGCCTTGAGAAGCTTATAGCTTCAACTTTTATTAGTATAAGAAGACTAGATTTTGCGTCCACGCTACGCGTGGGTATTTTGTTAATAAAAATTATATGCAATCAATTATATTTATTAAGATATAAATTTTATATATTAGTGATTTAATAATATATTAAAAATATTATAATGTTAATATAATAATTTTTATGTAAATTTTGAGGTTTTAACGGTTTTGTTTTAAATCTATATATAATATGTCATATTTCAAAAACGTATTATTTGGTCAAACACTTATAAGTTAATATACATAAATTAACTAATTTTTTTTTATAAATTAGTCAAATGATACTTATTAAACATAATATTGACATGATGATAAAATATTATACATTCACTTCTTTAAATCATGAAGAGAATTTTTCATCATTTTCACTTTTCTTCCAATTATATATGTATTTTTTTTAAACAATAATAAAATTTAAAATTTAATCTTTTTTCTTCTCTTGTTTAACCGATACATATTAATTTAAAAAACAAACTAATAAATAAAATATTTGTTTTGAGATTAATAAAAACTTTAAATTTGAAACCAAAATAATATTTGAATATAAAATAAAGAAAATCATACAAAATTTGTGAATTAAATATATTTTTATCAATTGGTTGTGTAAACGTTTAAATAATTTTTCAATGATTATACGTCATTGATTCTAATAAGAATGAATTTTTTTCATCATGTTCATTTTTATTCTTGTTATATTTTTTTTTTTCAACTAATAGATCATATTTATTTATTTCAATGATTTTTGTATGATTATATTCAGTTTCATCATATTCAATCTTACTTCTCTTAATTATATTTAAGTAGGCAGTCGGTACAATTTAATACATATAAATTTAGAAAAATGAAATAACAAATTGAAATCCTAAAAACTAAAAACTTCTACATTAATCTATTGCAATTCCAAGCCGAATATACAAAATATAATTTTTTCGATCATTTTTGCATAATATATTACATGAGATTATGTGGAAACATGTTTTGCATATGTGAAAAAATTAATATAAATTATAATTATTAATTATTTAAAATTCTACATGAAAAGCCTTAAAATCAAGTAACATAAACTTGTATAAGTAATATATAGTTTTATAGATAATAAATTAAATTTATAATTTAAACAGTAATAATGAAGATTTTAATATCATGTTTTTTTTTAATTATTAGAGATTTTTTATTCTTTAATTTACTTTCTTAATAGAATTATGAATTTTTTTAAAATTTACAATTTTGATATATAAGACTAAAATTTAATTTTTAAATGCTGATGTGGATGCCTTGAAAATAACATAGCTTTAATTTTTATTCATAATAGAATAGTTTTAATTAACAATTTTTTCTATATTATTTTGTATTAACAATGTAAATTTATAATTTAGATTTTTTTTTTAATTTTAATTATTGATGTACACTAATAAAATTGACCTTTTAAATCTTATGTGGATGTCTTTAGAGGCATATAGCTTCTATATTTATTTTTCTATAAACATATTTTTTGTTAACCATATAATTTTCAAATTCTACTTCTCCTTTACTTTTAAAATTCATATGACCCAAAGGGTTACAAACCATGTATATTTCTAAAATTCATATATTTTCAAAAATTAATAAAATAATATCCTGATGGTTTAGACTTAATTTATTTATTTGTTTATTTATTTTCAAACATTAATAAAATAAAATATTTAAATTTTATTTTAAAAATAATTTCGAAAAAATAAATTTTAATTCAATTATTTTAGATTTTGTTAGATATAGGTTAGATTAATTATCAAATTTACAAAATCAGTTGTTATTATTTTTATAAAAATAATAAATAGAATATTAATTTATGTTATATTTAAATATTCAAATTTAAATAATGTTCTTTTATAATGATAAAGATAGTAAATGTTATATTATTATATACTTTTTTATAATCAATCAGTTTAAAATTTTAACTTTTTGTTTATAAATTTAAATATTTAAAATTTAAATATTTTTATATTATATGGTAATATAAACGGACGAGGTAGAATTGTGTTTTTTCATATTTATAGTCCTTTTTGGTTTAATCGAATAGACGGGTTAAAATTATATTTTTATTATCGTTTTACATATTAATTTTTTTCTAAACATGAAAAAAAAAATTTTCTGTCATTTATTAGAAAAATAAATTTCTCCTAGTATAATCTAGTTAGTTATTAATGATTGTGTGTGTTTCATTGGTTTAGCAAACATCCTCTGCTTTGGACTAAACATGATAACGAATTAACGATATGACGTCAACACACTCCAAAATGCAAAAAAATTCTGTTCTAAACACTTACTGATGTTACATTGCATAGCAAAATAAACACTAGTTCATAGCTACATGAACTTCAATCCTTCTATGTCTAGTCCAAGCAATGAACCTTACCATTAGTATGATCCACTGATCCTTTCTCTCATTGATCAGCATTTAAAGACCTCACTGGGACTTCAATGACATTTGTATCTAAATCGGTGCCTTGAGGCTTATTAAGCTTTTTCTCAAGCCTATGAGTCTCCATCACCTGCTCAGAATACTGTTTCTTAAGCTTAGCCTTGTGTTTTTTCCCAAGCTTATGACTCTCCATCATCTTCTCAGAATTCGTCAGGATATTACAAGTTTCGCACCGAATGATTACCAACTTTTTCTCTTCACCTTCTGTCTTCTTTCCCGTTTCTTTCGACCCAACTTTTTGACCCTTCACATTCTCACTTGTTGAAGCAGCCGTCTCAGGTGGCTCTTCTTGCTTTTCAATCGCAGCCTTATGCTTTTTTCCTAACTCATGATTCCTCATGACTGTTTGAGAAAAGGCCCCAACACTACATACATCGCACCAAAACTTATACTTACGTTTAGGCTTGCTTCCTACTTGCTTTCCATTATCAAGTTCCTTCGAAGAGACTATTTCTCCGGTTTCTACAGACGCATCTTTCATTTCCATGGCTCTCTCTTCTGATTTGAGCTTTTTCCTTTGAAAAGATTCTTTCTCTGGTAGACCAACAACATCTTCTTTACGCTTTGCTCCTATAAGATCAGGCCTATCCTGAAATAAAGCAACACATATGAAAACAGAGACTTTTTAGCTGAACAAGACTTCTTAGATGGTCAGGGGTTGTTCTAAGCTAATCTACAAGTGGTGAACGTGTACCGTAGATACAAACGATGAGCTATGATCAATACAATCTTTTATGTTGACCAACACATACTTACCAATACAATTTTTTCCTTGTTAGAATCCAAAACTGGTGTTTCCGTAGCTCCATTAGTCTGGAGTGGAGGGAATTGTGTCATTGGTGATGTAACTAGACTGTAAGGGCTTGTGTACATCATAGGATCATTGCAAGTACACTTCTGTCCGAACAAAATGTTGTTGTTCTGATTCTGATTTGCAAGCTTCTTTTGGTTGATCAACATTGTTAGCTTTTCCTCTAGAGAGATTCCTTTGGTCGTCTCTGTGACTCTTCTTATCGCCATTTCTCTCTCGATAGCCATCTCTTGTACAACCTCGGCTATAAGCTCTCTTCTTCTCGCTGTCTCTGCAGCGATGATCTCTTGACGGATTTGTTCCTTTTCAATTTCCCGCTGAATAGCTTTTTGAACATGATCTTCACTGTTGCAGCCTAAGAACACAGGCCAAAGATTTCAATTTAAACAAGAGAAGTGTCTCGTAGAGGATTCAAAGTTATAAGAAATTTTCAATAGTCACTTCAATTTCGACAAGAGAAGCGTCTCTGAGAGGATTCACCTTCAGATTTCACAATACATATATGCAAAAATCAACAAGAAATAGGAAGAAGAGAGAAAGGTTTCGCAAAAGGAAAACAAAATTGCAATTGCTTATCATCTTAGAAAAATAATGCCAATCAAATCAATTCATATAACAATTTTCGTCGAGAGAGAAAAGGACAGTGAAGCAAGAGATTTTCGAAGTGGAAACCTGGGATTGGTCGCGACGAGAGGAAAGAAAAGTTCGGGTTTAGCGACTGAGATGGTGCCGTCTCAGTCGTAGGAGGTGGCCGATCACTGTCGACGGCTCTGTATCTGAATTCCATCAGTTTCAAATTTTGGAAGAAAAGGGGTTACTCTTTTTTTATTTATATATTGACAAAAAAAATGTTTTTATAGATTTTCTTTCCTTTTTGTTGGCAATATGTTTTTATATTTACGGGATTCATCAAATAGAGGGTTTTGCAGAGATTAGCAAGTTTTTTAAGCTTGTTAAGTTTTTTTTTTAATTTTGGAAAATATATATATTTTTACTACTTTTGAATAATATACACATTAGTTTTCTCCAACTTTGACTATGTATCTAGCAGAAGATGCGATTGCATATGATACATTCAATGTATCCAAGCTTTTTATTTCTTGTAATCTCTTTGCAAAAACTGCATGATTTTGTACCATGGCTTGTAACTGGTTTCATAATCAAATAAAATAGTTTGGATTAAAAAAAAACTCTTTGACTATGTATAATACGGTGATTATGCATTATATACACAGTGATCACTCGTTTTGTACAATTTTATTTCTAAGAATCAACAATATTTAGTCATATAAAATCTGTTATTTTCTAAATCGGCTAGATTTGTTTATTTTATTTTTGAATTAAATTTGTGATGAAAAAATTTACATATCATGTTTATATAACACTGATAAGTTTTTATACAGTTAATTTTAAAATAAATATTAATAATTAGATAACTTTATCTCAAAGATGTTAGTTTCATTTTTTTTTGTAACATCTTATATATCTAGTATATTAAAACAGAAGCACATTTAGTGCTTGATTCCAAACATTCTCAAAGGTTTTTTATAATATTTTATTTTATATTTATATTTAATTTCTGAAAATTAGTTATTAATTTAGATATTTTTAAATTTCCTAAAATTTAGGTCATCTTTAATTTAAATTTTAAATTATTGGAAATTTATGATTAAATTTAGTTACAAAAATCTAAATCCAAATTAATTTAAATTCAAAAAAATATAATTAAATTTTATAACGAAAATTTAGATAATAATTTTAATACTTTAAAATTTTTTAAATACATGTTAAATTTAAATTAAATTTTAAATTTAAATAATATTTTTATAAAAATACATAGTAAATAAATATTTTATCATATTTTATCATAACCAATCGGTCTAAAATATCAAATATTTTAGATTAATAAATATTTATACTATATAATAATATGATCGAGCTTGAGCTGATTAGAGTTATATATATATATATATATAATTAAGGTCGATGAGTTAATTTATTAAAACATAATTTATTAAAATATCAAATATTTTAGATTAATAAATATTTATATTATATAATAATATGATCGAGCTGATTAGAATTATATATATATAGTTAAGGTCTATGAGTTAATTTATTAAAACATATAATATACTAAGATGATTTGAGACAATTAAATTAACATGTTAGCCAGTTTATATATATATATATACATTTTTGTAATAGCACAAATAGTAAATAAATATCTTATTATATTTTTTCATAATCAATCGGTCCAAATATTCAATATTAGTAAATATTTCTAGGGTTATACATTTATAATTATAATCATATATACGGGTTAGTTTGTCAAAACATGTAAGATATTAATAATGATTTAAGACAACTAAACGGACGGATTAGCAAATTCATAGATATATAGTTTTTTTATGTGTAAATCTAAATTCACATAATAACAAAGTTTATAATTAACATTATATCAATGTATACTTAATTAACGTATACTTTATTCTACTAATATACAAATTTTTACTGTTTAAAATTAAAACATGATAACAATATTTTGATTTAAAAAAATAAATAACAAAAACTAATTATATCTAAAAAAAAATTAATGCAACTTATATTAGAAATAAAAAATAAAAAAATTACGTGCGGTGCACGGAGTGTAATTCTAGTTAATTATTAAGCGTAAGGAGGATACAAATAAGTACTTAACCAATTAGGAATACAGCTATATAACGAAAGCATTTATGAAACTAATGTACTGCCAATTACCAGTAATAATCCTTTTGTTAGTGCAGTTACCTACTCTTATTTTAGTTAAAATGGTTTTTTGTTTTTGTTTTTTTGACATCAGTTAAAATGGTTGGTTACCCAAAAGAACTAAAACATCAGCTTTGGTGTGCGAAGCCTTACCAAAGCATCCGGGAGTTAACAAATCGAAACACGCCAGCTGTCAAGAAAAATAAATCCACGGATATTACTCTTTTTTCTTATCTTTAATTATTTGATTTACGTCGCTGGACATCGACGACAAATCACAAACCTATATTTTCGAGAGGTTTCTTCTTGGGTCAACAACAAAGTCTTCAAGCTGATCTCATCTCTTTTCCCTCTCCCTGTGAATTAATGGCGAGTAGTTGCGAGCTTTGCTGCGAGATCTTGATCGCGATCCTTCTTCCTCCTGTCGGAGTTTGTCTCAGGCATGGCTGTTGCACGGTAAGTTCATCTGATTCCGAATTGAGATCTCTTCTTTATCCACCGAGAAACTGAGAAAATTGTAGCTTAAACCCGGAAATGAATCGCCGAAGAAACCGTATAAATCGAAATTGATTGCAATTATTTTCTTTTGGGTTTTCTGGGAATTAATCTGTGATCAATTACTTTTCGATTCCGAGAAACCTTCTGGGAAATTGCATTGTATTGACTTTAGTTTGGTGGTTTTATTTAGAAATAAAAGTTAATGAAGGGACTAGAAAATAAAAATCATTGAAATTTTTTAATTTTTTTTTTTTTTTGTTAAAAGGCCTGAAATTTTTAAATTTTGCCCTACCCAACTTATGATGATTCTTGTTTAAATTTTGCAGGTTGAGTTCTTCATTTGTTTGATTCTCACATGCTTAGGCTATCTCCCAGGAATAATCTATGCAATCTACGCGATCTTGTTCTTGCACCGTGATGAGTACTCTGATGAATACTACTACGTCGCTTGACAGGATTTAAGTTCCTGGTGTTTTTTCATTGTTCTTGTGAACATTCTTTGAAAACGTGATTACTGTATCTTATAACATGGAGGTTGATATATATGTCATGAACGCTTGGTTTTACTCTTTTATTCGGTTTCTTCTTTGTCTCGGTGTAAAATTGTATCTGTTGACAAATATATGATACAGTTTAGGGATCTTCATATCAAAATTGAACTAAATAGCAAACCTCTTTGCGAGCCGAGCTTTAAGCTTGCACCAAGTGTAAAACAAGTGGATCAGATAGAAGAAGTGTGACCATTTATCATAATTATGAAACTTTGAGTCTTTGATAAATGTTGTCAAAACATAGATCAACAATGTAAAAACTTTCTCATGAGTTACAGAATACTAATCTTAAGATTGGGACAAGATAAAATTAGTACAAAGACATACTCAAGAGTATGTCGTGGAGTAGTTTATTCGAGTTAGATGACGAATATCGAGTTTTACCATATACGAAAATCGTTATGGTTTCCTTTTAAGCAGTGTATACACTTTAAATTAGATAGAATTGGGGTTTCTACCCATGATTTGGCTTGATAACAAGAAGAAAAATAAAAGTAAGACGAGACAAACATAGAGAAACACTTACATTTGCTCATGTTTAAAAGAATATATGAGACACATTTGCAATAGGATTTTGTATTTTAGAACGTGAAGAAAATCAGTAGCACGGAACTAAGAAGAGCAGTTCCAAAAGAACTACATGAGCTCAACAGAGGAGATCGACGGTTGGATGTTGAAGGGATGAAGATAGGAATAATCCCTATTCTTCTAACGAAAATGTGAAGATTGTTGTCTCCGGCGGTTCCGTGTTCAACAAGTTTTCGACCATCATTGTGATCATCTGATAAAATAGGACGAGATTGAATTATTAACAAAAATGAGATGATCAAGAAACAACAACATACCACTGAAGATTTCATATTCCTTGTAAACTTTTAACTGATTTTAATTAAAACGATGTTTGATTAGAAAGGTTTATGGCAAAAATGTCATCTTGATGGGAATTTATAATCCATCTGTGCTAGGTTGTTCAATTATAAAGAGACATAGACTGGTTTGTAAGGATTATCCTATAATAATTTTAGTTTTTTGAGTTGTGGGTGGCATGGATAATCCTATAATAATCTAGAATTACATCACATCAATAATTCCCAAGTAAAGAATAATGGTCTATGGACGACTTACTCTCCATGATAGACGATTAGCTATGAAACTGACCAAGGCATCAAGGAATGTATAGATTACTAACGTCAACGATTATGGTTGTCCTTTTTAAAATTTCCTATATAATCAAAGAGTCAAAGAATCTGAAATTTTTAATAGTTGCAATTAAATCTTGTCAGTATAATTCGTGTCATAAGTGATTGATCTGTTTCTAGATTTATGTAGCTTCCCGTTAGTTGTTTTACTTTGGTTGTTTTATGATTCTCTTTTGTTTGTCCTTTAGGGTTTGTAAGGTTTTTGAAACATGAGTATCATAAGTGTGTTTTTAGTTTTTCTTGCACAAGAGACTAAGAAACACAATGGCTTGTTTACCTTTACATTTGCGTCTAACTCAGTTTTCTTGCCTCGAAAAATTACATAACAAATGTATATTTCATCTGTTTCTCATCCTGAAATGTTCAAAACTCAAGATGAAGGAAAAAAAGAAGAAGAAGAAAACTACAATAAACACAAAAAAAAGAGGTGACAAAACTAAATCTTCCAAGTATATGATAGCACTAAGTTTTATAAAATAAATTATTCAGATTACTCAGAAAAAGATGTCCACGGCAAAAACATAAATATAACTTTTATAGCAAACTCCGGCAAGCCTCCACTTCCGCTGCCTGTGAATCCAACAGAGACTGTCCCGATGGACTCTCATTAACGATCTTTATCACCGCATCAATCACGGTTTTCTTAAACCATTCATCTTCCATCTTCTTCAGAACCTCTTTAACCAGCTCAAAGTCCAAGACTTTAGCTGAGACCAACTTCCCAAGGATCTCTCCGAAGCTGTTTGGTGCTTTTGGAAGATCGATTCCGATGTCATCCAACATAGAACCGTAGAGCAAACAGCCCATCCTCAAGTCTTTGCAGGTCAGAACATTCTTTGAGATCAGATGTTCCAACAGTTTGGCAACTGGTTCAACGAACGGAGGGTTTTTCTCCAGACCAAGTGAGACCGCTTCTTTGACGAGCTCCGGATGGTAAGATGGGGATTTCAACTCCTCAACACATTGCAATGCCTCATCCAATAAACGAACACTGAAATACTCTTCAAGAAGCGACTTGGTTTTTCTTTCAAGCTCTCCTGTGTTCAAGCTATTAGCCACAGGAGCCACCTGAGGCTGTGGCAGCGGCTGTGGCTGTGGCTGTGGCTGTGGCTTCTCAATGGTTGGAACGGGTTTAAGGGCTTGAGGAGCTGAGCTAGAACCGTTACCTTGCAAAAGGGCGCTTGGCCTACTACCACCATTAAGGAGGCCACCACTGCCCTGAGGAAGCAGCCTTGAGTTGACTGAGAGTGACTTGTTGATAACGGGAGGAGGCTGAACACGAGCAACAGGCGTCTGTCTATTGCCTCTTGGCATGGACCGGGTTCGTGGTGTTTCCCAGCCGTCTTCATCCATTGCCATCTTCCTAGCTCCCGGCATGCCAGGCATCATTCCTCCAGTACCAGGACGGCCAAGAATGTTTCCAGAGTCAATATCTGCACCAGAAACCGCACCACGGTTGTTGTTGTTGTTTCTCATACTTGCCATTGCACCTGGGCGTAAATTAAGACTCTTTTCTGCCTCAGAATGAATTTCAGTGATTTTCTTGGCTTTCACCTGCCATGTACATAGTAAGAAAACAAACACGTAAGCACGGATCAAGAGCAGAGGACTAGAAGTAAGGATTTGAGAAAGGAATGTTAAAAAATCTTACCTCCTCACGCCTTGGTACCCATTTGTTAGCTCGAAGATCAATAACATTTTCGACCATAAACCTGAGACGCAGCTCTAACTGAGGGTGCATTGCTAGAGCCTTGAACCGCTGGAAGTAGATGTCATTCACACCTCGAGATCTTGGGTTTTCATCAAGTTGCTTCCCTATGGTTATAAAAAATTGGCAGAGAGCCTCGACATCTCCATCTGCTGGGCAAGCTTTACTGTCATCTCCTAAAAGCTCCTGTGTTACCAGATTCAACTTCAATAAAACAAACTATATACACTGTAACAATTAACAAACAAAGAAACATGGGTCATATACGTACTTGGACGATAAAATGAACTATCTTCTCGGTAACCATCTTTTGCTTCAGAAGCTCTCCAATCAGACGGAGATTCCCTATGGTCCTGAGCTTCGCCATTTTCTCCTTATCCATTCTCTCCATTTCTTGGCCTGGATTGGTCATCTGTTTGATTTCTTCCATCCCTTTTTTAGCACCCTCAAATGCCTCTTGGCAATTATTTAAAAGGACTCGTTTGAAAGTAATTTCTTTCCCACCAGGTTTCTCAGATGAAAACGAAGGGAGCTTGCCATTGATATCACAGCACAGAAGCGCATACATCTCACAGAATGTGGGCTGCAGTACAGCATTCTCGAAAATTAGCTGTATCACTCCCTGCAATTGAAGGTAAGGAGAGCAAATCAATGCCATGAAGAGAGAGGATAAATGATAAAGAGACAATTTTACATCAGGAATTGTAAGAAACCTCTAGAATATCCGGAGAAGTGATGCCAGAGTCGATCAATTGACCTTTGAGGAGCTCATATTTCTCAGGCGTAAGCTTGTTCAGAATACTGCAGAGAGTTAATAGTTGTTAACGAAATCAGTCAGAATAGAAAACAAAACTAACCCCAAGCAACAAAAGCTAAAACGACTCATAAATAGTTGTTAACTATACCCTTTCACGCTCTTGAGGACTCGGTCCTTATCTGAAAGAGCTCCTCTTTTAGCTGACCATGGGACCTCTGCTTTCAACAGCACAGGGGGAGGACCAGACTGTTTCAACAGATGAACAAGTCAAACAAGAAGCAGAAACTAGTAATAGTATGCCACAAAGAACAAGTAAATGCATACTTACCGCTTGGTTAGACCCGGATGGATATTTAGCCTCTCTAGCTTCGTCCCTTGACCATTCTTTAGCAGGAGTTGGGATCGGAGCACGACTATGCCAGTCACGGTTATCGGAATAACGATTCTGAAGTTGATTTGATGGCTGATAAGACCAAAACACAGAATTGGATTTAAAAGACGATTCTTAAGAAGTCTGAAAATTAAAACAACCAAAACAAAAGAGATAACACTCACTTTACTCTCAGCTGCACGATCAACCCAGCTCTGCTCTTCGCCAAAAAGCTCAGCCGCGATTTCCTTACTGCGTCTCAGAATATCAGCAGAGACTTGGATCGACTGTGATTAAGAAGAAAAATTTGGTGAGTGATTTGGTTCACAGGGCATAAACAAACTAGATCAGGACAAAGTACAAGAGCAAATCCAAGTTATTGCCCAAGAAATAGAATCAACATGATACCTCTTTCAGCTGAAGCAACTGTTCTCGGGAAAACCGCAAACGTTCAGCACCGTCTCCTCTCTACAAAACATAACCTTGGATAGCTCAGAATTCAATTAAACAAGACGGAAAAAAACAGCAATAAGACAAAACAGAACATATCTGTAGGTTCTTCATGAGCTTCCAAAGCTAATAGAATGCTCACCTAATACCCCACAAGTATTAATCTTTGTCTATATTTACAGTAAGGTCACATTACTTGAGCACCCCACCAAGAATTAAGACATTGCATAACCCAAACCCAAACCCAAACGTAAAAGATTCAAACTTTCTTCAAAATACTATTCAACCCTCAATCAAACAACTCGTTTAAGCTCAGAATAACGAGAAATTTGCGAAAAGGCATGAAATCAAATTGAAGAGAAACACATGGCGAAGGAGAAAATAGAGGATTGATTGTCCAGACTCCAAACATTACATGAGATTCAAACTAACAATCTAAACATAAACCTAAACCCAAACATAAGAATCAGCAAAAGATCCAAACTTTATTCACAGTACGATTCAACCCTCAATCAAACTCAAAATAACGAGAAAAATTGCGGAAACCCCATGAAATCAAATTGAAGAGAAACAAGGAGAGAAGGGAAAACAGAGGAATTTCAATGTTTACCTTGACGGAAAAAGTAGTTTCTTCGCCGCCGCCATTGGTAAGATCAGAAGAGGAAGAAGAGCTAAAACGCGGAACGAAAAGCCTGCTTCTGCCGCCGCCACCTCCGGGTCTCAAACTCAACACCGACGTTTCACCTTGTTGTTGCATTACTCGATTGTTTTTTTCGATATTACGGATATGATTGGAAGAAGAAAAGCAAAATTTAGCAGATGTAGAGCGATGTAGATATTATACGTGTGTCTGTGTGTGTGTTTGTGTATGTAGGAGATATGACGGTGGTACTTTTTTTTTTTTTTGGGGGGGGATTATTTTGCAGCTGTTTACCCTAGTTTCCCTTTTTTGTTCTTTTCCTTTTCTTTTCTGATTTGATTGATATTGATATTTGCTAAAGAGTCTATATTTTGATGGAGAAATCTATTAAAGGCTTAAATGCACTTGTGTCATGGGTTGTTGCATGAGCAAAGGTCATTATTTTCAACGATTACCTCTATTTATTTATTAATTATTTCAATTTTTTTTTTATCTCTTCCAAGTTCCAAGGGAACATCTACAAGCTCTTGTGGCAGTATGTAACAAAAGTGATCACCAAACAAGATCAATACAATCAGAAAATTACACAAAACTCTATCTTTAATCTTTTTAAGCAGTTTCATTCTGTATAATAACACATAAATTAAAAATTTTCATGCAAATAATCTATCTCAAACTATTTGGTCTTAGTAAAAATTTGACTCATTTATTTATTGATAATTCGAGATTAAAACTTAAAATCAGAAAATTATAACCAAAAAAAATTCTCAAATCATTTTAAGAAACATCATTCAATATAGAAACAAAACTTCAATGATTTGTATGCAGATAATCTATTCCAGACTATCTGGACTTGACAAAATTTTGACTTATTTATTTAGTAATAATTCAGGATAGAAACTTTCAAAAAAATTCGTTCCAAAAAAAAAATTCTAAGGATCCGAATGGTGACGGCGTATTTGGTTGTGCGGAAAAATTGGTTTTAAAGTATGGTACGATTTAACTGCAGTACATGCGGGAGAATTCAATTGCGGTACATGCGCAAATATTCTTATCCGCCGATCTTTTTAATGCTGGAAAATAGATTTACGAATTAATCAGGGGTTTTTTTTTGAATGTTTGCCAACTTTTTTTGATGACTCAATTATTTTATGGGAAAAATTCAACTGCGATATGTGCAGAATAAATTCAACTGCGATGGTGCGAAATACTATTTAATTAGTGAAAAAATAACATATATGTAATATGATAGATATTTCAGAAAAAAATATATTAAAAGTATTAGTAAAATAATAAATTAGAAATGGTCTAAACATATTTTTCAAAAAGAAAAACTGTATTGATTCATTTAATTAATTTCATAATTTTTTTGTCAGTTCTAAAATTTTAACATAATTTTTATGAATACAATTAGTATATTGATCTTTATTAAAAATATCAGTTGTAATACATAAAACTGCACATAAAAACACAAGCCGAACCTAGCGTAGTTACTATTCTATGTAGATTTCAGTTTTTCTTCACAAAACTAAAACTGCACATGTACTATTTATTTTTTATTAAAAATATAAAAACGCACCCCAATTGCAATAATTTTTGATGATTGGTAACATAAGGACGGATTTACGAATACCGTCCTACAGTTATGAAAAACGTGATTACCAAGTATAAACCTTTTGCAAACTAAGTACCTTAGTATCACTCATCTTCCTCTTATGAGTGGGGTAAAAGTCATCAAATAGTTAATTTTTCCCCTTTGTAAGGGTTCTCAAAAATGAAACTCTAGACTTAGTTTGAGACCGGAAAAGAAGCAAATGGGTTTTTTTTGTTTAGAAATTCTTATGTGAATTCATAGAAAAAAAATACAATAACTCTTAAAGATAGTTTGAGATTGGAAAAAAAAAGCAAATGAGTTTTTTTTGTCTAGAAATTCGTATGCAAATTTATAGAAAAAGAATACAATAACTCTTAAAGATAGTTTGAGACTGGAAAAAAGCAAATGAATCTTTTTGGTTTAGAATTTTTTCTGCGAATTCATAGAAAAAGGATATCACAACAACTCTTAAAAATAAGCGTAAAAAAGTAAAAAAGATCCCTCAAAGATTTTGTGCTCATTGAAGATGAAGAATTGTACAAATTATGAGCAGAAAATAAGAGAGAAAATAATATGATTAATGCTTTTGAACGGTCATAGGCTTAAAGATATGTATTTGACAAAATGATAAAAGGAAACAAAAGACCGGTTATCGACAAGTTTGATAGTTAACCAGGAAATATAACAGAAGACAGAGAAATGATTGAGAATTGTGTCACATAATTTACCTAGAGGACTTCTGATGCAAACCTTCTAGAATTGTGTCATTTATGAGATGTTCTCCCTTTAATGTCACCGACAATTTTTTTATGCTGATACATTCTCGATATATAAACGACAAGTTTATTTTGGGCTAATCCATTACTTATAACATATTGGGGTCCCATGAACCTGCCCATTAAGCCCATGAATAAACGTTGTCGTTTCGGTTCAAACACTAAATTTTGAACCGACGTAGTTTTCGATCTCGTGGGTCTTTTCAGGATAAGAGTTTATTGCGGTTTCGAAGGTTTCAAGCTCCGAGTGAAGAAGCGCCATGGCTGGTATAACCAGCTCCGTAGGATTCAACGCCGTTTTCGCCGGAATCACCAAATTGGCTTCGAATTCACCATTCTGTGTTTCGTCCATCGATTCCAAGCTCTGCGGCCTTCGTGTCTCCAAGGCCGAACACTCCATTGCCAATTCTCCTCGCCATGGCCTCGCCGTCACTTGCCGTTACGGCGGAGGTGGTGGTGGCGGAGGAGGTTATCGTTTCTCTGGAGACTCTAGACGAGTTAGGCCAAAAGAATCCGAAGTAGATGATGCGCTTGATATTTCCTCAATTAGGTGAGGTTTCTTCTCCAAATTGAAAGCTTTCATTTTTGTTTTTGTTTTGGTGATTTTGAAAATTTCATTAAATTCGTGGTGATTGATTTGATTAGGTCAGCTACTGTTAGGCTAATCGATGAGAAACAAAACATGGTAAAAGTGACTTAATGTTGAAATCAGTAAGAAAAACACAGCTTTTGATTTCAGCAAGATAGAATCATAAATTTGCAGTTTGTGTTTGCTCTCTTAGCTTGGTTTAGTGTCTAAAGACGAAGCCGTTCGAATGGCTGAAGATGCTGAGCTTGATCTGGTATGTGTTTCCATTCAAGAATTTATACAAATACAAAAATGCTATTTTGGTATGCAAAATTCCATATGCTTGTTGTGTTGCTTGACTTCAGGTGATTCTATCGCCTGATGCAGATCCTCCAGTTGTTAAAATGATGGACTATAGGTGAGTATCTCTATATAATGTATTGAAATGGCTCCTTAACCGTGTAGAATCGTATCACGTTGATGTTTCTTTTTTGGTTTATCAGTAAATACAGATATGAACAGCAGAAGAAGAAAAAAGATCAACAAAAGAAAAGTAATTGACTGCTCTTCTCTTCCTTAGTTTTTAGAGTTGGAGATTTGCTGATTACAGCTAAGCTTATTTGTTTGATCTTGTGTTAATTTATTATATCAGCCACTCGCATGGACTTAAAGGAGCTTAAAATGGGGTAAATTGTTCACACCTTTCAGTTTATTTGTTTGTCATGTTGCAATGACTTCTTTGGAACTGATTCTCTTTTTTTTTGGTGTTGTTGTTTCGGCAGTTATAACATTGATCAGCATGATTATACTGTACGTCTAAAGGCTGCACAAAAGTTCTTGCAAGATGGTGACAAGGTTGTTCCCACATATTCTTCATACAACTCAGTAAATACTATCTTGCCCCATCCAGTTATGTTTTTGTTTATGAACTACTTGTAATGCTCTCAGGTTAAGGTGATTGTGAGCATGAAAGGACGAGAAAACGAGTTCAGAAATATCGCTATTGAACTTCTCAGACGTTTTCAAACTGAAATAGGAGAGGTAACATATTCTTTCTCCTTTCACTTTGCCTGTGGAAGTGTTTTCGAATCATGTTTGTTTGAGTCACTGAAACTTGTCCTGCATATTTTAGCTTGCGACTGAAGAGAGCAAAAACTTCCGGGACAGAAACTTGTTCATTATCTTGGTGCCAAACAAGGAAATGATTCGGAAACCACAAGAACCATCCTCTAGAAAGAAGAAAAAATCAGCTGAAAATGAAGTTTTAGCTGCGGAAAAAGAAGTTTCAGTTGCGGAAAACGAAGTTTCAGCTGCAGAAATAACGACGTCGTCATAAAATTACAGTCGCCATTTGTCTGCAAAGTGCGTCTGGAGTTTAAATCATGAGGTAAAGCATTTGAGAGCTAAAGTAAAGTTTTGTATATTTACTTTTCTACCGTGTCTTAAGAGCTGTAACAAATAGAATTAGTCCTATTTGAATGATGTTCTTCGTTTGTAGATCTTTCCTGGAATCTTTTTGTATAACTTATCAGCTTAGTCAATTCATACAAATTGTATTTTTTTTTTTTCTTTCTTAAAGACCAAACTTTTGTTAATATAGTTTGGAGGAGAAAAGGTGGTAAATTCTGATGGGATAATGGTTAATCTACTGCTTTTTTTTTTTGATTTTTTTTGTTTTGCAAAATGTAATTTTTTTACTTGATGCGTTCAAGTTCTTTTTTTTATGCTTCCCAAGATCTTCCGGTATTTCTACAGCTGCCCCCAGATCTTTTGGTATTTTAAAACTACCCTAGATGTCTTGGTATTTAAAATTATGCCCCATATCTTTCGCTATTTACAGTACTTATTGATTACCATACTAATTGAGATTCTATACAGTACGTAGTAAAGAAGAAAACCTAAAACTGAGCTTACATGTGAATAATGAAATGGCATCTTTCATTGATTTTCTTTAAACTCTCTATTTTACATGTTTTTCCTATAAGTTAAAGACAAAAGGCAAGATAGTGGTAGAAGAAAATGCGAGCCAAAAAGAGCAATTTACAAGTCAATTTAAGTGTTGGCCGTGTGAAACTGCTACTGTGCGCCACTTATGGCCATGGAAACTTGCTTAATGGCAACAACTGAGACTCTGCATCATTTCTTACTTCTTCTTCTTCCTCTTGTTTCTTCTGTATTAAGTGAGTCATTAGGCTTCTCTCTTCTATCTGGATCCACACATGAAAAACTCACGTTAACGTGTTGAACTATAACTAGATTCTTGGATTTTTGTTTGATTCGTTACCTCCATGACTGCGGTTGATGCCAAGAGATCTTCACATTTGTCAAGCATAAAGTTTTCTTTTTTAGCTATAACAGCGAGATCCGAAACAAGTTTATTCATCTCTTCCATCTGCGTAAGTAGTTGCAATAGTGGGAAAAGTTCAAGCACTTGACTACTTGAGAGGACATATTTGAAAGCCATTCATGAAAATTAGTCTCACCTGGGAGTGTAAAGACCAGATGGATGATCCCATTGTCTGCATTACATCAAGAGCTGAGGACATAGCCAACTTCAGGGACCCGAGGTCTGCCTGTGATCACAAGAGCTTTACTAAATCATAGCTCGATTCTTGGTCTTCAGATTGTTGTCTATCACTCTATGAAAAGGAAAATTATATTACCTTTGTTCCTCCGGTTAGTGGAAGCCGGAGAGTATTTGCTTCCAAGTCTGCAATGGCTCCAGTTAAAGAACTAACGTGATCTCTCTCAAGTATGGCCCAATCTTCAAGGCAAGCCATCTGTGCAAATACTTACATTTTAAGATCACGAGGATGATAATCCGATGGACACAACTTCTGTTTTCATGTAAGAGAGATATACCTGATCGTTTAAGATGGATTCAAGCTTGATTTCTAGCTTCAACTGTTGGAGACAAATTCTTTGGTTGGTCACAAGATCTCTTAGGTCTGATGTTGCATGCCAGACATTGTATAGAGTTTCCTGTAACCTCAAGATTGTTAAAACAGAAGAAGAAACAACTTCAACCAATGTTCACACTAATCAGAAAGATGCTCAAATTTTACCTCTGCAATTAACCTTTGAATATATCTTACTCTCTCAGCTCGAGCATTTGCTAACCGCCACTGTGAATATCTGTTATAGAGCAAGCGCAGCTGATGAACATCTTCTATATAAGTTGCCTTTTTTCCTTTCTTAACATCAGCAATGAAACTGAGAACCGAAGTTGTGGTGCTACTCGATTGTGTAGACGTGTTGGCTTGTCTTATCCGGGAAGGACTTACACCTCTTGGTGGTGGTGTAGGCGATCTCACACAAGAGAAATTTGCCCCTCTTGATGGACTCAACCCTCTCAAGGGACTCATGCCTCGAGAGTTAGAGGACGATGATGAAAATGAGGATCTGCTCGGTGAAGCAGCGCGTGATCCAGGAGCAGACAAAGGGTGAACTCTAGCTGAAGTTCTCCTATCTAATGAACTTGCAGACAAAAGCTTGTGAGACTCAGATGTCCATGTTAAACTATTACCATCTTCTGAACTCGTTGGGGACATTACTAATCCACCATTTTCATAAGAAGACAACAACCTTGCAGCGTCACTAGAAGATTTCTGCAAAGGTTTAGACAAAGGCAAGGACATTCTCCTAACCGCTTTATCACCAAGATCCAAGCTTCTGTTCATAGAATTTGAAGTGATCTTTCCCCCAATTCTACTAGGCCATCGATGCTGTTCTATTGGTTTGGAATTCTCTGATTGACCTGCTGACACATTCTTCCCTTTCAATGGACTTCTTTTCCTCTCTGGCGTATGTTTCCTCGACACAGAGGTTGTCTCACTATGCTGCTTATGCGCTATATTCGAAGACGGTCTTAATGTCCGATCAGTCGAAGAAGTAACAAACGGTTTCTCCTTCTTGATAACAGGAACTGATACCGAATCAGACTGAAAGGAAACGTTGAGGCTTCTCATAGTAGAAGGCCATAAGCTTTCAGGTAAACGACCAGTAGATAGTCTCCTAGAAGAAACCGGTACATCACTAACCGGTGTGGACGGATTAGTTGGCGTCGAAGAGCGTATCCTTTCTGCTGAAACAGCTCGTTTCGAGAACGATTGAGAGCTTGAAGACACTGTCCTCGTGACATTAGGTGAAGGACATCTCCCAGTCTTAGTTGGAGTCGGTGATCTGTATCTTGAACTGACCTCCATTGTTCTAGACCGGCGCGTGACATTGTTTTTCTCTGCTGGAACAAGAGGCGGTCTTGTAGTATCTGCTACCGATTGCTGCTGCTTCGCCATTGCTGCTTTCTTGGAACCAAAAGATATTTCCATTCAGGCTAACAGATACAAACTTGCATTGATTTGATTCAGCAGCTAATGCCTTAGACCATTTTTATTCTGCCAGAGATCAATGGATAAAGGAGAAAAGTCAGATACCTCACAGATGAGCAAAGATGGACAAAAGCAGAGAGAATATATTAGACAACCCATATGATAAAGAAAGAAAAAAGATTACATCTTTACAACAGAGACACAGATCAAGAAAAAAGGTAAGATCTTTAGGTGATTTTGAGATGGTTTTTACATCATGAAAGCTAAAACAGATCAAGACAATCTTTGGTCCTTGTGACAAGCTGACTAGTTTCAAATCACCATAAGTGAGTAGGGGTCCCCTAAGACAAAAGGAAAAAAAGGAGACAACAAGAACAGCTTGAGACCTAGGCAGTTAAAGAGAGAAAGAAAAGTTGTGCCTAGGACTATAAAGAAGAGACAGAGTAAAAGGCTGGTCTAAGTACTAGAGTAGTTAATTGCACTTTCACATTTACAGAGATATTCTTGATTTCAATCAAAGACTTTAATTTTAACTTCTGAGCAACAAAAAAAGAAGATTTTTTTTCAGTGTCTTTGTCACGGGTGTGCCATGGTCGGATGGGCTGGAAAATTAATGGAGATATCAGTTTCATTCACAGACCCACCTTTCTTCTTCTTCTTCCTCAATCAAAATCAAAAAGCCTCTCAAAGTTAACAAAAAGAAGTTTCCTTTAACTAATAATTCATTTAGAAATGTTTGATTATTATTATTATAATGCCATGAGATTATTTTAAATAAGATTTGCAGATTCATATGTTCTCAAATGGGAAGAGACAAAGAGGACCACGTGTGTAGAAGAATCAGTGTCCTCTCTCTCAGATAAATGGTGAAATATTTCAGTAATGGTGACAATAATGCAGATGATTTTAGCAATTTGATTCTTTGTGATTATAACTATCGTTTATGTTTTGACAATTAGAGAGAAAAAAAAGGTAGGAAGAAAACTTCAAAATTTTCTCGGGAAAATGAAGCTCGTGAAACAATGAGATTTGGGATTCAAAAACAAAACTTTTCTTTTTGGTTTATAGTGAAATGAGAAGAATACAAAAATTGTCTGTTTTTTAAACACGGCTTGTGTCTCTCATGAAGCAGACAAGTTTCATCGATCGAAACTATTTGGAATTTATTATTTAACTTTACTAAAAACTTTTTCTGCGAATATTTAATTGTTCTCTTCGTTCACTGAATCTCTCCGAACAAAAACAGGAAATCGAAAATTGTTTTTTCTATTTTGATTCGTTGTTTCTATTATGATATCTAATATATTATCGGGTTAAAATCCAGGAAAACAAACTAGGGTTTCTAAATTTGATCAAAATCAAAATGCGATCAAAGTGAGAAACTCGAGAATCTAACCTGGAAATCGAGAGAATGATGAAGAACACTTGATCACCAAGTAATCAAAAACAGAGAAATGGTTTCTGCCCTCGATATCAAAAGGAATGATACGAACGTGATCGGAGTTACCCAAGCTTGAAAGTTTGAAAATTTCTCGTCGGAAATGGAGAAATGTCGCCGGAACAGCTTCGGAAGAGAAACTACTCTGAAAAATTTCTGTTTTTTTTCGACAAAATTTTGAATTTGAAACGCGTAATGAGGCCACCACAAGAGGAGGAGAACAGAGGAAACGGATTTTGAATATTTGTTTACTGCTGCATTGTGTATATTGATCGTTGACAAGACTTTATTCTTTTCAAATTTCAACTAAAGTTATTATTTTTTGGGTAACCTAACGAGAAAATGTTCAAAAAATTATATATTATTTCATTGACCCTACAAAACATCGTATGATGATAACGATTGTCATTTACTTTTTAATGTAGGGAAGTGTATTTATCTCGAGTGATTTTAATTAACAAATCCGATTTTTTTAAAATTTATAAAATTCAGTGTTATTAGATGTAGGATTTCTAAATGTTTCTTAAAATCGATTGTTGTTAGAAATATTTTAAATATTAGGATTTTAATAGTTTCAAGTGATTTTAAAGTTTTTTTTAGTTAAAATATAAAAACTCAAATTCCATAATTATATATGAAGTTGCAGAAAATTTTAAACTAAATCATCAAAATCATCTAAACTCTTATTAAAATTTAAATCATTCAAAATATTTAATTTAATAGATCTCCCATAGTGTTTATACAAGTGATTTTTTTAATGTAAGTACAGTATAACATCTATATATAAATACTCGATATATCAATTAATACTTCGATAAATTAATACATTTAAATTTCAAATTAGTTTTTTATGCTAATTTTTATATCGATAAATTAATTATTCGATAAATTAATAAAATATTACAGTTTCGATATTATTAAGTTATAGAGGTTTGGTGTATATTTTGTGAAAAACGATAAGCAATGTTCATAATGTTGCACATATTTTTCTTAAATAATATTTAAAGAGAATTAAACATTTGACTAAAATTACTTTTAGGGGAAATCATTTTGTAGTCTTACAGAGTAGGAAAACAATATAAAAAACTTTTAAATTTGTTTGAACCCATGTAGTAGATAGATGGAAAATTGCACTCAATAACCATCAAACAAACTATAATTCACAAACTAACCAAAAAAAATATCTGAACATGATATTTTCTGTATATTCTATATTAATACTTTTTTATTCGTTTTATTTTTCTTTCTTATTTTTTTCCCTTTTTTTCTCTCTTACCACCATTTCTCTTTCACTCGTTCTCTCACAGAGAGTGCTCCACATATTTTTCTGCACCTACACCATCATCATTATCAACAAACTCGTTAAAGAATCATAAAATAAATTTCAATTTTCACCAGATTATATGTTCCTCCACCCCCTGATTCTCCTTCTCTCCTCCCACAATATTCTCCACATGTCTCCTCTGATAATCCCCAACTCGTTCACGACTTCGTTCGTTCTTTTCTGATTCCTTCCATCGACAAAGACAAAGACGTTAACCCTCTTATGGAACCTTTGTTATGCAATTGGTTTTACTTAAATTATTGAACTTTAAAATATGGATCTAGAAATTGAATTGAATTAATTGTAGATGGATCTAAGATTTAGACAAGAAGAGTTAACTTTTCAGGAAACAACTGAAAAATATTTTGTATAGAAATTTTATTTTTATATATAAAAAAATATTTTTGGCGTATATAGAACATTGTCCATGATCAGCTAAGTTATCACGTCATTGAATCGATTTTTAGTAGAATAATATATTGGTCCATTGTAAATCATGATTTAATATATGGATGGACAAAATGTTCAAAAATTTTGCTATTTTTTATTTGCTAATTCTTTATATATGTATAAACATCTATTTTCTTAAGAAAAACTATTTATTGACTAATTCCATCACCAGTATCACCAAAAATCAATTTTGTTTGTTAACGGTGAGCTATTTCTCAGCAATTCAAGAAACTCCAAATAAGTGGATCCTCAGCTATAGTGTCAAGTAAACAACAAATTTTGGATTCTCAGCGATAAAAACTTCAAAAAACATATTCATGAATCTGCTAAATTTTTGAAAAAATAGATTTGTTATTGATAAAAATAGACTTGCTATATTATTGATGATACTATTCACATATGAAAAAAATTTGTGTTAGTTTTTTAAAAAAATTAAATCATGTTAGACGTAAAAATAAATCAGTATTTTTTGTGTAAATATATATAACTAAATTAATTAGTAGAATGTTTTTAACAGAAAATAAAATAAAATATATGGAGTAACAATATGTGTCGTAGATAGACTGTTTATATATATATATATGTGTTATAGAGGACAAAATCGTCAAAAAAACTGATCAATTGTTATTACTTGCTTAATTTTAGTATATTGATGGTTATATTTTTCACACTTTATTGAAATTTGGTTATTCACTTAATTATCCCTAGATAGATTCACGTATGTTGGAACTCAATAATTTTTGTTGTTGTTTTATTCATCATCCATCACTTTAAACTTTCAAAGTTGATTATAGATCGATAGCAATTAATAGTCTATAAAGTTGTTTACCGGTATAAACATGTTAAATTAACAACGTGCTAGTTTTCCTTTAATTTAGATTAATCGATGAGTTATGGGCTGAAGAACACACACATTTCATATCCCTCTCAACTGGGGAATGGAACTAGGAGATTCAAAAACGCATAACTTTGAAGAATTTGAAAACTTGTCAATAGAAAATAGCCCAAAACTCACTTGGTGATTAGACCGTATTATTTAGAACAACATACGATTTCACCATCAAAACCATATTTCATATTTGTTTGCAAAGGTGTTCTTTTTCTTTCTTGTTACTCCTCTTAAGTGGAAAAATGAGCCCTCTCTCGTTTACGGTTTACCTAATTCGTTTTATTTGTTCATTTCACTAGGAGACAAGGTTATTCCACTTTTTTTTTTTGTTACTCTATTATGTAAATAAACCAAAAACACTAATTGCGTTAGTATCAACTTTTAACTAAATAAACAGTGTGTAATTAAACCACAAGCTCACCTAACCGAATTGATGGATTTTGGATAAGAGTAATAATGAAGCTATATACTACTCACAAAGTAATGTATTTAGCCAAACAAAAAAAAACAAAGTAATGTATATAAATATATAATGATTGTTGTAGAAAAATGCATATAAATTAAAATAATATTATAATAACCATGAAAAAATTAAAATGCCGAAAGTAAAAGATAAGTTAGATAACTCTTCATTTTTTTTTGGCGTTTGGTGTTGTTAAGTATATAAGCAAAGACCAAATGATGAGCATTCATGTGCTTAGCATGATTATATTGTGACCACATTTTGTTATTGCATATGCCATGCTTCTCCAGTGTTTCCATTCCTTTTTTATAAAGTTATTGGATCTAATTTGTGCCATTCATTAAAATTAAATCATTCAATATCCTTTAATTTACATTCTACTTCATTCACTTTCTTCCTCGTTCATATTAAACCGAGAACAAATAAATAAATATGATTTGGATTTTGTGATTCTTGGAATATCTCTTTTGGAAGTGATTATATACTGATTAAATTAAAGGAGAATTGGTTTTATAATGCTGATTGAATTAAAATTTGTCCCCTTAATGTTTTTCATTTTTTTGTCACTTTTTGACATAATTGTCCTTTTAAATCAGTTATGGCAGTTATAATTAAAAATAAATTCGACACTATATTTTAAAATTTTCAAAAATACCTAAAAGAGAATTAAAAATATTTTTCGTATATCATTTATGGAAAAAAAAATATTTTTATAATATTTTAAAAATTCGTTCTACGCTTGGTAGAATGCATGTTCTATGTTCTACGTTCGCGTAGAATCCTGTTTCTATAGTTCTTCATATAATCTATCAGCCTGTAGAAGTCGTTTTCTATAGGTCTTTATATATTCTACCGATTGGTAGATTACAACTTCTATTGGATAGACTATATTCTACATGTTGGTAGAATACATCTTCTACTTGTTAGACCAGGTTCTACGTTATTGTAGAACGGTTCTTCTACCTGTTAGACTTCATTCTACATTAACGTAGAATACATCTTCTACCTGTTAGACTTTATTCTACATTAACATAGAATACATCTTCTACCAAAATCTGAGAAAATCTAGGAAAATTAGTTAATTTCCAGATCTAAAAAATTTCAAAAATCTTTTATTTTTTTTTAATTTGCGTTTTTTATCAATTTTTGACCTTTTTTTTTTTTTAGCTATCATCGTTCTCTTCTTCTTCTTTCTCATTGATCAAGCAGATTTTTCCTAAGTTTACATATCTTATACTTCAAACATGCTATATATCTATGTGACTTGTGGTTCATAGAAATCATGGACAGATAAAAAGTGGATTTATAAACCCTAAACTCGAAACTGAATGATAACGAAGAAGATAGGCGAAGGAGAAAGACTGTGTCGACTGTGTATTGTGTATTTACCAGAAATTGATTTTCCGGCGAAGATTGTGTAGGTGGAAGAGACTGTATCAATGATGTCGATGAAGAAGAAAGAGATTGTGTGGATGGGGATGTAGAATCTCTTTTCTACTGATATTTTTTAATTATAAAATATTATTAATTTAAAAATTAATTAATTAAATAATTCGAAATTAATGGGTATAATGGGAAAAAATTTCAGTAAAACATTATAAGGACAAATTATTTTCAAAAAACATTATGGAGACAAATTATAATTCAATCAGCATTATAAAACCAATTCTCCCTTAAATTAATGACAATGCTTCAATTATCAGTTTCATAATCTCTTAATTGAAATGGACCTAAAAAGATTCTATCGTCATTTTAGGATAATAAAATCCAGCAAAGACTTGTTCCAGAGAACTATGGAATTCAAGCTCTGAAATTCAGCTATTGAAATTCTTTTTTCTTCTAAAGGAATCCATAAAATCTTGGTTGCAATATAGTATCAAGGATATAAGTGAACTATGCAGAAATTGTAGAAATTGTAGAAATTTATGAGTTTATTAGTACAAGAATATATTCAAGTGGACAAAACTAGAACAAGAGATCCATGTTTCAATATGAGGAGAAAACAAACTGTCCTTTTATTATTTTATAAACGAAACAATGAAGTTGACATTGGATGCCATATAAGCAAATCCTAAGTATCACAAGGAAACACTAGGACGATTTTTAATGAAGGAGACGTAGTAGAGGATCTTATGTGATGTCCGGAAGATCTTGTCTCCACAAAATAGTTAACTAAATAAAAATCGAATCCAAAAACCATGCATAGTTTCAATTAAACAATTATGAAATGTATGAAAATAATATAAATATAAAATGTTTCGATTTTTTTTTTGTTTTCAGGGTGCTTTACTAGTGTTTATATGGCTTAAAAAATTCTTTTGGCAGATGATATGGGATCAAATTTATTTCTAAGCTCATCATGTTCAGTTTTTTTTAATAGAATTTTCATCTTTGATTACTAAGAAAGACTCAATAGTCTAGTAGCATGAGTTCACTGCAGTATTATCAAAAAAAAAAAAAAAAGAGTTCACTGCAGTTTCTCATCAGAAGTTTTGTCTCTTCTCCTTTTCTGTGGTTGATGAGCTATTAGGCCGGCCTGTTTTGGCCTAAAAAGCCCATAATCTGACTATCCCGGTTTACACATCAATCGGATTCTCTGAACCGTTTAAACCGGAAAAAACCAAGCTTACAGCCGACGATAATCCGAATTTTCCGAATTCCTCATCCGTTCACTAAGCTTATCTTCTTCCTCCCTCCTTGCAATTGCAGTAAGAGCAAACAAAGATTCAAAAGACGCCGAGAGCACAAACCCATTATGGCATCTCTCTCCATGGCTTCCGTTAACCTAAGATTCTCTCCTTTACGCTCTTCACCAAGTGTTTCCCTTCGCGTTCCCGTTCAATTCGCTCGATTCAACAAGGCGTGTTCGAGCCTTGGCTCAACTCACTGCATTTCTGGGCTTCGCGCGGTTTTTCCTCAGAAGATTTCCTCAGTTGTTTCCTCGCATTCTCAGAGGCTTAAGTCTCTTACCGTTTTCGCTCACAAGGGCTACAAGATGAAAACCCACAAGGTCTTTTATTCTCTCTCTCTCACTCTAATTTGCTTGAGCTGAAATTGAAGTGGAGTACTAGGATTTCGAGAATTTAATGTCGGAAATTGGAATCAGTGATTGTTTAATAGCTTCGAAAAGTTTGGAACTTTACTTCTTCGTTGTTATTTTCTTGGGTGAAAAAGCATTTGACATATTTCTGAATTTTGCTATGTAATTAGATTACTACTTATAGCCTCCATGTAATATCAAGGACTGTGATTGTAACAAATCGGCGTCATTGTGGTACACTTGGAATTAAGGGATTTTCTGAAACTGTGAACTTCATTTTACTCCATTTATTTTAGCAGAAGAGTTCGATTTTGTTGATTGGTGTTAGTCTTTGTTGAATGAAAAAGGGCATAATGTATTTGTTGACAGGCCTCAGCGAAGCGGTTCAGGGTGACAGGTAAGGGGAAGATAGTGAGGAGACGATCCGGGAAGCAGCATTTGTTAGCTAAGAAAAACAACAAGAGGAAATTGCGTCTATCGAAAATGGTTTGTTTTCTTTTCAACTTCTAACAAGGATTTATTGGACGATTTATTGCTTCTCTTCTTTGTTTTTGTTTGCAAACCACAATCTTTTGATTCTGCATGTTTTGAAGGGTATCATTTTGTATGTGTAAAATGCACTCATCTATCTCAAGTATTAGGTGTGTGTGGGTTTTGCTGAATGTTTCATCATGAGGTGTAGCTCTTAGCATAGAATGATGATAGTGCAGACGCAAAAAAAAAAAAAAAAAAAATCATCCTTTTTTGTAGTCGAGACTTGGCTGCTAATGTCGTCATACTAAATTCATGGTTTCGTTTTTCAAAACACTTTATAGTTTTGAACTTCAAACTAATTGTCTTTCCTTGTGCATTCGATTACTTGCACCGCTTGCTGAATCTCTTAAAATTGGGATTAAAAGCTACTAGTAGATTAATAGTGCGATATGGAAGCCATGCCACTGAGATTCACTGTATTGGCTTCTATTATCTTCAACCAGTAAAACCGAAAAGACAAAAACGTAAGGCATGATTCTCATGATCACAAGTTCAAGTTATTGCTTGTTGTCCTTTGTTCATTAGCAACTTTATTGTTCTGTTCTTTTCCTTCTTCTCTCTATAATGTCTAACTTTCTGTTATGTTTTTTTCTGTAACGCAGCACGAAGTGAGCCGGAGCGACTATGACAACGTGATCGGCGCTCTGCCCTACCTGAAAGTCAATCGAAAGGCGACTTAAACAGAGCTCGCTTGATCCTTTTCTTGTATTTCTCATTTTGTAATCTAAGTTGTTATAATATCCTTTTGTTGTATGATAATTTGGTCTATGAGTTGATTTTGTTTCGATTTTCTGTCTTCTTTTTCTTCCTCCTCATTTTCTCGTCTCGCATGACAAATTATTATAGGTGTAACAGATGATAGCTCAGCAAGGAGTTTGGTCATGACACATGGATCAATGATTGGGTTGAAAAATCAGAGACAAATATCTTAGAGGAGACTTCGAAGTTTTATAATCAGACAAAACTCACTTATAACTGTTTCAACTCTCTAGTCTCAAGTTTCAACCCATCCATAATTTGTCAACCATTAAGAGATGCTACGGCTGAGGTAGTGACTGGCTAGCTAATGCTTTCACAATGAGAGTTCATTCAGATTTGGAAAAATATAGCGAGTATGGTATTGAATTAACCAAATTTCGAAATGTTTTAAACATTAGTCATAGAAATTTGAAATCTAATAGCACATAGTTTTAAACATTTAGTAGAAAATTTAAAATCAACTAGCAAATTATTATGATTATGATTGAAGTTTTCGTTTGTTGATTAATAATTTATAGTGGAAATGACTATAGTGATAAACCATAGCAAAATAATTCAAAATATGTAAGCAATATCAATAACAATTTTTTGGGTCATGAGAAATATCAATAACATAAATCGGTGTTATAGAAGATAAGATTGTTATCATTTGTTATGATTGGTGAGGTGACAATAAAACGATATATTCTGTAGAACCGATCATTATTTTAGTACTAGTGAAATTTTCCACGTAGTACGCAGTGATATAATTTTTTATTTGATTGTTTAAAGATCTAGTAATAATTTGAATTTATTTGTTTTTTATTGGGAAAAATGTCATAAAAACTCTGAATTTATTCAGCCATTTAAAGCATGGACTCTTTCGTGGACTGTTTAAAGCACTATCTTTTTGTTGACTTTACAATTAAAACACGATGTTATATTGACTAAACTAAGTTGGTCACAACGTTAACTTGCTTAACGGGTTGAATTAACGGGGTTAATATCGTTAATAATCCGTTTAAACCAAAACGACACCGTCTCATATCTCTTCTTAAAACATAAAAATCACGAGAAACTCCCAATTTATGAACCCTAATTTTCGATTCTATCCCCAAATCGATTTCTCTATCCCTAAATCGCCTTTTTCTCCTTCTTCGATTCAAACTTCTCTTCATTCTCAAGTCGATATCGACCAAAATGCATAAAAGGAAAACAAAGAAGCTTCCTACTCGTACTCGTTCCAACACTCGGCGGGTTGATTTGGTTGATGATGCACCTGGAAACGAAGAGGCAACTAATCTCGGCGGTGATGGTGATTTGATTACACTGAAAGTTCGAGAGCGACCTCCAATTCAATCTCCACCCCGTACACAAGGTCAGAGCCCAGAGAAAAATCAAGCTCAGAGCACAGAGCAAAATCAAGGTCAGAGCACAGAGAAAAATTCAGAGCGTGAGTGTGAGAGTGAAGATGACGGCCCAATTCAGAATGATGATGATTTTGATGGGGTTGATGATGCACCTGATAATGCAGCTGAAGAAGACGAGGATAATGGTTTGGGTGTTGCAAAAGAAGGAAATTTGGAAGAAGACTTTCTAGAGGCTGCCATGGATGAGGAAGCAGAGAGTGATGGGGATAGTGGTGACGATATTTGGGATGACGAGAAAATTCCAGATCCTAAGTCATAGTACGACGAAGACGAAGACAGTGACGAGACAGAGCTTATAGTTGAGCGAAGAGATGATGAACATCCAAAGGAGTAGTTAGCACTGGGAAAGACATACAGTTCTGAGATATTCTCTGAAAACGCGATATGACATTGAGTTTTATAGGTCTCAATCTAAGAGGGTAGGTGCAAAGTGTAGTGACACTGATGATGATTGTCCGTGGAGAGTTTATTGCTCTTATGAGAGGAGGAAACATAAGATGCAAATCAAGGTATATTTCAATAAGCATATATGCGTCAGATCAGGGTACATCAAGCTGTTGAAGAGATCAACAATTGCTTGGTTATTCTCGGAAAAGTTGAGAGTGAATCCCAAGCTTACAAAAAAGGAGATGGCTGCTGAGATTAAGGCAGTTTACAATCTAGAAGTCACTGAAGAGCAGTGTGGAAAGGCAAAGACGAAAGTGATCAAAGAACGAAGAGCTAGTCATGAACTCCATTTTTCACGGATTTGGGATTATCAAGCCGAGGTGTTTAAGCAGAATAAAGACACTAAGTTTGAGATCGAGACTATTCCAGGGCCAACAATAGGAAGCAAACAAAGGTTTTACCATCTATTTATCTGTTTTGGAGCACAATGTGATTCTTGGAAACAAACATGTAGACCAATTATAGGATTAGATGGAGCTTTTTTGAAATGGGATATAAAAGGTCATCTTCTAGCTGCGGTTGGTAGAGATGGAGATAATAGGATAGTTCCCATCGCTTGGGCAGTGGTAGAAGTTGAGAATTATGTCATTGGCTATGGTTTGTGAAACTTCTCTCTGCAAGTTTGGATCTTGGTGATGGAAGAAAAGTGGCAATCATATCCGATAAACAAAGGGTTAGTATCATTGACTCAAATTTCAATCATCGTTATTATTTAATAGATGGCTAAATGATGTATGTTTGATGTATGTTTTTTCAGGGTTTAGTTAAGGCTATCCATGAAACACTTCCACAAGCAGAACATAGACAGTGTGCAAGACACATAATGGATAATTGGAAGAAAGAGAGCCATGATCAAGAACTTCAACGTCTGTTTTGGAAGATAGCTCGGAGCTACACCATAGGAGAGTATACCGACAATATGGAAGCACTAAGGAGGTACAATCCTTTAGCTTATTCTTCCCTACAAGCTACCAACCCCCCCCCCCCCCCCCCCCCCCCATCATGGTCTAGAGCGTTGTTTAGGACTGGATCATTCTGCAATGACATTCTCAACAATCTGAGTGAGTCATTTAATAGAACAATTCGGCAAGCAAGGAAGAAGCCTTTACTAGATTTGCTAGAGGATGTAAGGAGGCAGTGTATGGTGCGTAATGCAAAGAGATCTATCATTGCAGATAGGTTGAAGAGTAGATTCACCAAGAGAGCACACAACGAGATAGAAAAAAGCATAGCTAGCTCACAGCATTGCATCAGACACATGGCTAGAAATAACTTTCACGAGGTAGAGCTGAATGGTGTTGGGTATTCAGTGAACATGAATGATGAAACTTGTGGTTGCATGAAGTGGCAGATGATTGGGATCCCTTGTGCTCATGCCGCATGTGTTATCATAGGAAAACAAGAAAAGGTTGAATCTTATGTGAACGACTTCTACACAACCAGAATGTGGCTAGAAACCTATAAGGATGGTATTAAGCCTGTACAAGGGATGCCATTATGGCCTAGATTGAACAAGCTTCCTGTCTTACCTCCACCTTGGAGAAGAGGGAATCCTGGAAGACCGAGTAACTATGCTAGAAAGAAAGGAAGAAATGAAACAGCTGCTTCCTCAAGCAAGAAAAAACTGTCTTGCAAAAGAAGAATCATGACATGCTCAAACTGCAAGCAAGAAGGGCACAATAAGTTGGTTGCAAGAATGCTTTTGTGGAGAGTCCACAAAAGAGACCACGAGGTCGACCTAGGAAAGAAGATCAGGTTTGGTTTCTTTGTGTTTGTTTTTTTTAAAACTATATTTTTTGTGTTATGTGACTCTTTCATGTAATTTGAACTAGGAACAAGCTTCAGTGTTTCCACTAGGACAAGGATCCCAATCCCAACAGCCATCACAAGGACAAGCACAAGGATCCCACTCGCAACAACCATCACAAGGACTTGGCTCCCAAACACAACAAGCAGCACAAGACCAATGGCAAGGACAACAAGGATCACAACTTGGATCAGAAGGATGGAGATCATGGCTTGGATGTTAACATCTTGTATGTTGGCTTTTGTTAAGACTCTCGGGAATTAGGAACTTTTTGTTGTCTTTAAACTGTGTGTCTCGTTTGTTATTTTGTTGTCTTTGAACACTACAAGAAAACAATCGTTTTCCAACAGTTCGTTACGACGGTTTAAAAATCGTCGCAAATATAGATTGTACGACGATTTTACGTTGAAAAAAATATCGTCGTAACTTCGACGTATAATTTACGACGCTTTACGACGATTATACATCGATAAAGAGAGATTTGATATTAATTGCAAAATCGTCGTAAATTGGATGTAACATTACGACAAATATACGACGATCTATATCCGATGTACAGTTACGACGATTTTACGTCGACAAAGAAGGTAGGTGAAAAACATTTAAAACATGTTTACCTAACTAATGTCGATAAAATATTTTATCGCATAATCGACGTAAAATCATCGTAATATGAATGTTGAATGTAAAAACGATGTAAAAAATCATCGTAAAAGCGTCGTAAAGTCCGAAATTTTGTTATAAATACATCTTCATTCCTTCTTTCATTCACAACACATCATCATTCAAACATAAGAGCATCAACATCCTGGAGATCCATTTTAGGTCTCTTAAACCTTAGTATAGTGTTGTAAATCCTGATATATTGGGTTGTCCATTGCTGGAAACCCGAATTAGTAGTTATTCTTTGAAAAAAAGAATCAATAATATTAAAAGGTTTACTCCATTCACGTGACTACACGTGACACAAGAAACCGTCTCTTTTATTGTCTAATTAATAAAAAGAGATTGTATTTTGAGTTTATTTTAAGATGTCTATATACGAGCTAAGAAGCTGGATGTATATGCGTAAAGATTCAGATGGGGCGTTGACAGAAGAATTTAAGAACGGGGTAGTAATATTCATGTATCAGGCCACAAATATGGAGAGAACGAAAGATAATGGGAAGATGTTTTGTCCTTGTTTGAAATGCAAGAATACGAGGTATACACTAACCAAAATTGTGTGGACGCATTTATTAAATAGAGGGTTTATGCCACAATATTTTGTTTAGTATCTACATGGAGAAGGATATGGCAGTAATACTCATGGGAATGCTGGTAATAGTAGTAGTTATCAAAGTCATGTTGATTTTGATGAATCGAATTATGGTCATCAGCCTAATCAGTATCAATCTGACCAAAGTATAGATCATGATAGAATGCATGAGATGGTGAGTGATGCATTTCATGAAACGCGGGAAACTGGCACACTCCTGCAAATATGCCTGAAGGTTATGGAGTTCATTATAATTGGCACAAGAAAAGTATCTTTTGGCAACTACTGGTTCAGACTGGATGTGCTCCTAGTTTCTACTGCAATAGAACAGTGATGTAGTTGTAATATAAAGGATTCGAAATCCAGAGGACCAGTGTTACTCTATGAATTTGTGAGGATTGAATTAAAGCTAAGACGAAAGATGGTTTGTTTTGAAAACTAAAAAGTAACAGAATGGCAAACAACGATTTAAATTCAAATTAAAACAAGCACTAGACCAAAGCAATTCGCAGGAATTTCAGAGATAAGAACCAGATGACTATTCAGGGCACAAGTGTAACGCAAGTCTCGAACTCAAACAGAAAAGCTTATCGATCCACTGTCGTGATCTCGATAACTTTGTCTAACAACCTAAATCCTAAACTGTCGTTTGAACCTAGAAAATTGCAGACAAGCATTAGCTAGCAGGTTTGATCTGTTCACAATTTGCCTTAACTTCAACTGTCGTTGGCTAAGGACAAATCGCTCACCAATGTTTATTCTAGCAACCTATTACACTTTTGATGAATAGATTAACCTAAAATCGCAGATTGAGTGATCAATTCAACCTAAGCATTAAGTCTAACAATGGTGAAGACAATAGATATCAAGCCCTATCTGCATCTAATCCTCTAACTCATGAAATCCTTTGAACGCTTTAATCTAGCTAAGAGATCTACTCAGACATGGAGAAAAGAAACACAGAAACAGATGGAAAGGAATTCATGAATTAAAATCGCAGAAGAGATAATAGGGTTCAGAATTCTTCTCAAAGTGTAGCAGATTTCTTCTCCCAAAAGTTTACAAGTAAAAACTCTATGGTTCAGGAAAATTGTAAAAAGAAAGCGTAGAAAGTCTGTAGAAAAACGTCATTCTAAAACACAGGCGGCTGTGGGCTTTTTTATTCTCTTTCTCCTCCCAAAATTAGGTAAAAGTCGATTTCCTTATTTTTCTCCCGTCTGGAGCAGGTGCTCTACGAAGGGTCCAAACCGGGAGCAGGTGCTCCGGGGATGATTTCTCCAAAAACGTATGAAATAGCTCCTTATTGCTCAAATTCATCTCTTTTTGCTCCAATGCCTCCTAAACACTCCAATCCTTTGATAAGGCTTCTAAGTCACCTGAAACTTCCTGAAAAGACTCCAAAAAACTCCTAAAACAATTAGTAAACACAAGTTAGAATGAGTCAAAATCTCCACTCATCAACTCCCCCGAACTTGAATCCTTGTTTGTCCTCAAACAAACTCAAATTCAACTCCAAAAGAATGACTGGATAAAGCTGGGAACTCGCAAAACTCAAAAGACCGTAAACCTGACCAAGGCATGTGACAATCTGCTGCAAAATCAATCAAAACTCTAACCTCCATGTACTTCTCCGTAGACGCTGCAGCTTTCCAGGTTAGTCCCTCAATTTCATAACATCATCCATGTCCCATCATCGCTGAGTCTCATCGAAAAAACCAGTGCTAAGGACCTTCTAGACTCGTTCCCATACTTATACCTCAACAAATTGACCATACTACACAAAAGTACCTTTCCTCTCCCCCGGACTTATTCACTTTTCAAGCTGTTTCGTTCTTTTTTTTTTTTTTTTTTTTTTTTTTTTTTTTTTTTCGGCACATATAACAAGGTTCAAAGACGCGAGTATTGATGGTGATTGCCACCGAATCCCCGGTTTGTCCCCTCATCATATATCAAAGGTGTAGGCGAATAATGGGGTCACAGGAAATTTTCCTACCCCTCGCTTCCATCCCTTGTGTGATCATTCCACTTTAGAAGTAAAATAATGGGATCCTTGGAAATTTTCCTAACCCTTTACTTCTAAAAGAAAATCATATCAATCTTTTCTGCCTTTTGATCATTTTTTTTTTAGAAACAGCCTGAAACAATGCTTAGAACATGAGAGAGGAATACCAAATCTATCACACAGGTCTTTATTTGTCAGGTAAGAATGAGGAGTCAAGCTCTATGAGCACTAACCTGATCGATGAGGAAAATGAAGAGCTGAGAAATTAGCTCAGGCTCATCGGATGTGTCAAGAATTTTGGGCTCCTCTAGACTACTGCTTTGTCTTTGGATTTTCCATTAGTCGATCTAGATGATTCTGCAGCAATAATCACTAGAAGAAGATGGTCAAGATTCACAAATGGTCTGAAATCATCATAGAATTGGTCCTCATTCCCACAAGCTTTGACTTGACTCATATAACTAACTGACTCAAAGAAACAAAATAACTCAAAGAAACAAACTAAAACTGACTCAAGAAAAACACAAGAAACAAAAGATGACAAGATCCTCCCCCGAACTTATTATACACCGTCCCTGGTGTACAAATAGGAGCAGAGAAAAATCTTGTCGAAACAAATAAAAGAAAAGAAACCAAAGCGGATAATACAATGGTGGTAGAGAGATGTTACTAGCGGTCAGTGAGTGGTGGTGTCCTCCGGGCTCTCACTACCAGATCCACCAGTGCGACGTCGGCGTCTCGGGTGCCTCTCCGGAGAACTGGCTGCGGTCGCTGTTCTGCTACGACATCCACTGGTAAGCATCTGCAACAACCTCTTCATGAGGCTGTTGTTCTTCTTTGTAGACGCGACCATCCACCTCCGAAACTCTGCATCATCAGGATCATCAGAGATAGGAGCTAAATCGAACTCACCAGCATCAGCTGAAACGTAGTCAAGCAGCTCCTCATCTCCCTGCGGTGAATGTGGATATGAAAAATTTGGGTTTTGAGCTCAAGTATCAAGTATGGCGAAGAAGAAAGGAGGAAGGAGGAGGTGTTTATGGGTCGGGGTTTTAAAAAAAAAAAAGGAAGGGTAAACTCAGGTAGGGTAAAATTCTGTGTAAAATAAATGTTTTGTTAAAATTTGCACACTAGCCCCTGAGTTCCCATTAAAACCCCAATTTTCCCTTAAAAACTTACCTGGAAGCGCCAGACACCCTGGCCGAGCAGGTGCTTCAAACTAGAGCAGGGTGCTCCGGTGGGTTGGTCCCTCCTTCTTCTTCTTTTCACCTCCATCGCTGAAAACCTCTCTACCTGCTTTATCTCTTTTTTTTTTTTTTTTTTTTTGAAAAACAAAGAACTTAAAAACAAAGTTAGTAGCTAAGAATAAAAGACACAAAGTTAGAGACTCTTACCGGTGGGTTGCCTCCCACCAAGCGCTTGTTTTAAGTCATTAGCTTGACTTGGAAAGCCATTTAGGCTTGAGGAGGATCGCTTAAGGTGACTGATTCACCTTGTGTGATATTTGGACCAGCAAGGTATGGTTTCAACCTCTGTCCATTGACAACAAACTCGCCTCCTTTAGTGTCCAGCAACACTACAGCTCCATATGGTCGAACCTCCTTGATGGTGAATGGTCCAGACCATCTCGATCTCAGCTTCCCTGGAAACAATTTCAATCTAGAGTTAAAGAGCAATACCGGATCGTTTGGTGCAAAGCTTCTGTTGAGGATCCTCTTGTCATGAAAAGCTTTTGTCCTCTCTTTGTAAATCTTCGAGTTTTCATAGGCCAGGTGCCTAATTTCCTCCAGCTCATGTAACTGCATTACTCTCCTCTGCTGAGCACTCTTTGCATCGAAATTCAGCAGCTTCACTGCCCAAGCAGCTTTGTACTCAAGTTCCACTGGAAGATGACATGCTTTTCCATACACCAAGTGGAATGGTGTAGTCCCCAAAGGTGTTTTGTAAGCTGTTCTGTATGCCCAAAGAGCATCATCAAGCTTCACTGCCCAATCCTTCCTTGTGGTGCTCACAGTCTTCTGCAGAATGTTCTTGATTTCCCTGTTGGAAACCTCAACTTGCCCACTCGTCTGAGGATGGTATGGGGTCGCCACTTTATGCCTTACACCATTCTTCCTCAACAAGTTTTCAAAGACTTTGTTGATGAAGTGAGAGCCTCCATCGCTAAT